TGCCGGGGAGGGGGGGATGTCTTCACTCGTGTTCCCCCGAACGCAGAGAGAGAGGGAGACAAAGGGTCAGGATGCGGGAAGAAGGAGCCAGGAGGGAGGGAGGGCCAGCCCAAGGCAGCCTCCTCACGTGGTCAGTGCTGGGGATCCCTGGGGTTCAGAACCGCGACGAAGTTCCGCTCCCGGCTACATGCCCAGGACTGGAAACACGGCCACGCAGACACGTGCCCACGGGTGTTCACAGCAGCACCGGGGCACGACAGCCGAAAAGCAGGAACAGGCCAGTGTCGCGATGGGACAGATGGATGAAGCGGTGGTGGCAGGTCCGTACAACGGAGTACCATCCGGCCACAAACGCCACGCGGCACTGACAATGCTGTCAGGGGAACAAGCCCACACGAAGGGCCACATGTTCTATAATCCCATTTACGTGAAATGTCCGGAACAGGCAAATCCAGAGATGGAAGGGGGATTAGTGGTTGCCAGGGGACGGGAGAATGGGGAGCGACTGCTCCTGGGACAGGTCCCCTTTGGGGTGATGGGTCTGTTCTAGAAGCAGGCAGTGGAGAGGATCGCACATTCTGAATATAGCAAAACTGTACATGTTAAATGAGTGAATTTTACGGTATGTGGATTCTATCTAAAAAAACAATCGTTACAGAGGAGACTCCCAGAATAGCCCTCAGACTTGTGGCCCAAGGGGTGAGCATTTATCCAGCAACTCCTGCCCCCTCGGCCCCTCCCCACCCCCCCAGTTGAGGGTGGCACTATCTGGTGCAAACGTCTTTCTCCTTCCAGCTTCGGCAGGTCTCAGCGTAGCTGCACCCCACCCCTCCACCAGCCCCGGCAGCAGCAGGCGAGGGAGGAGGCTGGGGGTGCAGCGCACAGAGGGAAGTGGGACCTGCAGTGTCTCGGGAGCATAGAGGGCTCACAGGGCCACCGAAGAGCAGCAGGGAAAGCGAAGGTTCAGACGGGAGGCCTAGCAGAGCAGCGAGTCCATCTGAGGAGGGATCCTCTCCAGGGCCAACTGACAGAACAGGGGTGGGGGCCACAGGAAGCTCCAGAAGGAATCCCAGCGGCAGAACCAGGGACTGGGACCTAGGTGGGGGCAGTGGGGGTGCAGGGTGCTGTGTTCTCAGATTCCGGGCATGTTTTGAAGGAAGAAAGCGGGCAGGGATGACCAATGAGAGAGAGAGAAGTCTGGAGAGCTGCATGGTTTCCGGCCCAGCAGATGGAAGATGGAATTTGCCGAGACGGGGACACCGCAGGGGTGCCGGGGTGGGCCAAGACTCAGTGAGGGTCTGACAGATCTGGGAAGCCAACTGGAACCATGAACATGGGAGTCGCAAACGCACGCACAGCGTCAGAGCCGGGACTCATGGAGACCAGCAAGGGAGCATCTGGAAATGGAGAGGCCCGAGGGCTGGCCGCTGGGTGGGGGCGCAGACGCCAGGATGGACGCGGCCAGTGCGTGAATGCGCGAAGCGGGAGCTGAATGCGCAAAGCAGGAGCGGGAGGAAAGGCACTGGAGACAGAACGAACGACTCTTCGGAGGAGCCGGCTGCAGAGGTGAGAGAGGGGGCTTACGGACAGTCTGGGGGGAAAGCTCCAGTTGAGGTAAAACTGACATCGAGGACAGAGGGGGGTCGGGGGGGCTTGGAGAGAAGGCCACAGCTTTCTCGGAGAAGCGTGAGGAGCCCGTGAGGAGCCGGACTGACCGGGGCTGGGGTTTAGCGGAAGGAGCAGGGCAGTGAGGGGCACCAGCGAAGCACTGAAGTCACTGAGGGGGAGGGAAGGACAGAAGGCGGCCGATGGCGGACAGTGCTGCAGGGAAGGGGATGCAATCCCCGACAAAAGGGAGGTCCAGGACTTGGGGGCCCGAGTGTCTCAAAACTGATGGGGAGAGGACTTCAGTGGGAAGGCAACTGGCAGCCTTCTAGAAACCCTCGGAGCTGAGCATCAGTCTGTCGTACGGCCCCGCCTCACCGCGTCTGGTGTCTGGTGTCTGGTGGGGAAGTGGCGCAGGCCCAGGGCACAGGCCGGCCTCCACCACACACCACACACCACTCCCCTGGCTGCCCAAGTCCCAGGGTCAGGGGAGCTCGCCCCCCTAACGGCCCTGGGGGGCTGTGGCTGCCGAGAGAGGCGCTGGGAGGGACGTGAGCAAAGGGGCGCGGGGCAAGGAGTCTGGAGGGGCCTGGTAGGGTGACTCCTCTCTGACCAGCCAGCCCGGCCCTCCCCTCCTCCCAGCTGCGGGCTGGACCTACCTGCTTCCTCCGTCCAGACTGGGAGAGCTTCCAAGGCTCCCGGTCCATCAGCTGCACCATCTCGGCTTCCTCCTCCCGGGTCACAAAATCCTCTATCAGCGTCACGCCAGGGAAGGGGAAGGCCCAGCCTTCAAAGTCAGACTCCTCGGCCCCCACGGCCCAGCCAGTGTCAGAGTAGTAAATGAAACGGTGCGTTTTCTGCGAAAGAAAGATGGGGACCTGGGGCCACTGATGCCCTGCCTCACGCCACGTGTGTGCCTTCTAGGGGCCGGCTTGCCTGGCTTGCCCGCCCCCGAAGCCAATCTGGAAAGCAGCTGGAGTCCAAAGGGAGGCAGAACCCCTCCCTGCCTGGGGCTGCCTCCTGGGAAGGGCCCTGTGCCCGGTCCTTTCTCACTTTCCTCATCTTAAGTGGGAAGAGCGTCCACGTACCTACTCTCTGTTCTCTGTTTTAAAGATGAGGTGACCCGGGCCGTGCAAAGTTAAGGAACTAGCCTGAGGCTGCACAGCCGGGGGCTGCCTGCGAGTCCTCGCTGTGCTAGTGTCGCTGTGGGGTGTCTTCTGGCCTCCCCGGCCGTGGGGGGCGGGACTAAAGGAGAGGACCCCGGGGCTGTCCAGAGGGCGAGCATGCTAGGCAGCTAGAGGGGAGTCTCTGAAGTGGGGGTGACTCTGGGCCCTGCCCTCCTCTGGCTGCAGAGGCACTGCCTGAATTTCCCTTCCAAAGAGGAGAGAACTTGCTAGTCATCCTCGAGAAGTGCCCAGCTGACAACCTCCTGCTGCCTCGGGTCTCGGGCAGAGGCCGTCCTGGTCCCAGGCAGCCCCCAGCCAATGACTCAGTGCAGGCCTGGCCTTTTCTACCCGACACGGGACGCCTCTATCCGTCAGTCCGCTCCGGAGCTCCCAGCTGGGTTGGCCATGACTTTGTCCCAGCTGCATGGCAGTCTGAGGTCCGCCCTGTCCACTTAATTCTGCTTCCTCCCCGCCTTTACATTTCAGGGCCACTGCTGCCCAGCCCGTCTGTGAACCATCGTGTCCTCTGTCTTCTGGCACCTCCCACAGAACACATTAAAATCAGGGAGTCATCCTGTACCTTCTGCTCATCCCATAGCCAGCAAGTCAGGCAGGTGCTAGGCCCACACCCAGGGGCACAGCAGAGTTCAGACTTTTGGCACTTCTCAGGTTTTACTTGCAGCAAAAACATATAGGGCATAAAATTTGCCATCATCACTATCTTTAAGTGAACAGGTCAACGTCAAATACGGTCACATTGTCCTGCACCCGTCCCCACCTTTCTAAAACTCTGGACTCTAAACAACAACTTCGTTCTTTTCCCCAAGCCCCAGGAACCCACCATTCTACTTTCTGACTCTATGAATTTGATTCCTTTCCGGGCCTCCTGGAATCAGAATCCTGCGACATTTATCCTCTTGTGACTGACATTTCAATCAGCATAATGACCTCAGGATCCATTCATGTCACAGCAGGTGTCAGAACGCTCTTCCTTTTTAAGGCACATAACATTCCATCGGACACAGCAGGCCACGTTTGTTTACCCGCTCGTCCACTGCGGGAACCTAAATTGCTTCCACATTGTAGCTACTATGGAACGTGGGCGTACAAATATCTCTTCAAGGGCCTGCTTTCCGTTCTTCTGGGTGTATACCCAGAACTGCTAGATCACACAGGAATTCTGCTTTTAGTTTGCTCAGAAATCACCAGATCGTTTTCCACTTTTACCAGGGATGCTGTGAGAGTTTCTGCACTGGCTTCCCAGACTCCATACCTTCCTATCTGCCTCTCCCCCTCCCGGGATCTTTCTAAAATTCACCCGTAACTTCCTTTAAAACCCTGAGCGGCTCTCCGTGTTCCTCAGGACAAGTCCAGCCTACGCAGCCACCACACACAGTGCCCTCTGTGGTCAGCGCCGGCGGCCCCTGAAGCGCCACGCTCCTCCCAAGCGCACGCACTTGCCCCAGGCCTGCACCCAAGCAGTCCTCCAGCGGAAACGCCCTTGCCCCCCTCGAAGGCTCTGAGTCCTTTTCCCTTAATTAATTGGAATTAATTTCCTCCTTGACCACTTCTGCTCAACGGTGCCTAGGGCACTTTGCCCTGCCCGGTTTTCGGCCTTCTCTTCTCTTTCCGGGTCGTCTCCCCACTCCGTGAAGCTCGCAGCCCCAGACGCGGGGTTGGGGGGTGGGGGGCCCCCTACGTGGAGGCTTGCTGTCACACTCTCCCCAAGGCTCAAAGGGGAGTTGTGGTCGGATGGCATCCACTCCAAGCCCACCCCTCAAAGCTCTCATCTCCTCCTGCAACGCCCCCAGAGCGAGGGCCCCTGACACGGGTTGATCCGCGGCCCGTCTTCGTGGCCAGTCTGGGCCTCAGTTTCCCCATATGAAGAAGGGAGCTGGGGCACGGCCCCTCCCCCCAGCCCTCACCTGCGGGGGGTGCTGCCAGGGCGGGTCACCTCCGCGCTGCCGCTCGCAGATCAGACAGGTCCGGATGCCCTTGCAGCCGCATTCCCGGAGGACCTCGGGGGCCGCCACCGCCGCAGCCGCCATCGCCGCGTCCCGGCGACCAGGGCGCAGGCGCGGGGCCGCGGGGGCCGCTGGGAGTTGTAGTCCGCCCGCGGGGCACGAGGTCCGCGGAGCCCCTTCCTTCCGGTAGTCGCCAGCTACTGGCTTGCGCGGCGCCGCCTTCGGAGTTCCGCCGGCCGCGGAGCGTCGGGCTCCAGGAAGCACGGACTCGGCGGGACGCCGGTGCCGCCAACCGGCCAGCGCGGGCCGCGCCTGGTCGCCATGGGCCCCCTCTCGGCGCGGCTGCTCATGCAGCGAGGGCGTCCCAAGAGCGACCGGCTGGGGAAGATCCGGAGCCTGGAGTAAGAGGCGGGCCGGGGGGTACGACGGGGGTCCGCGGGGTCGCGGCCACACAGCCCGCCACCCGGGCCTGGGTCGCCGGCCGGTCGGGAAGTAAGGCTGGGACCCTTGCCCACTCCCTGCCCGGCCCCCTTATCGCCCTGTCGGTTAGGCGGAGTCTCGGATCACTCGAACCAAACGCTGGGCGCCCGTTATGAGACGGGCGGGCCGGGCCCGAGCGGCCTCTCCCTTGCAGGGTCCCCGGCTGTCGGGGAGACAGTCCTGCAGAAAGGGTATGAGCAGCCTGTTGAGCTAGTTCCTGAGGCTCTGGGCAGCACAGAGGAGCTCCTTTAGAGGAGGAGCCAGCTGTAGGCAGTTGTAAAGTAGTGACGAGATTTTAAGAAGGAAAGGCTGCGCGTGCCTTGTGGAGAAGCTCTGCTGAAAGAGCCTTCGCAGGCACCCAGGACTGCCCCAGGTGTGAGGCCTGCCCGCCCCCCTGAGCCCTCCCTGTCTGCCCCCACCCAGCTTGTCCGGGCTGAAGCTGCTCTCAGAGCACTTGGACCCCAAGCTCCTGAGCCGCCTGACGCAGCTGCAAGAGCTGGACCTCTCCAACAACCAGCTGGAGACACTGCCTGCCAACCTGGGCCTGTCCCACCTGCGCATCCTCCGCTGCGCCAACAACCAGCTGGGGGACGTCACTGCCTTGTGCCAGTTCCCGCAGCTCGAGGAGCTCAGCCTGGAGGGTAACCCCTTCCTGACTGTAAGTGGCGGGGGGGGGGGGGGGCCACCTGCCCCAGACCCAGGGCCAGCACTCTGTGGGGCTGAGCCACAGGTTGGGGTGATACTGAGCCACTCTCCCTCATCCCCCAGGTCAGTGACAACCTGAAAATCTCCTTTCTCCTGCCCAAGCTCCGGAAGGTCAATGGCAAGGATGCTTCCTCCACGTCCTCTCAGGTGGAGAACCTAAATCGGGAGCTGACCAGCCGGGTAAGGGGGCCGGCCCGGGTCTCTGGAGCACTCGGCCTTGAGGAGTGAGCGACAGAATGGACATTTGGAAGACCCTGAGTGGAGGTTCCGGGGGCTCTCTGCCCTGACACTGAGCTGCGCTTATCCCCTAGCCTGACGTGTTTCTCTGAGCCTGGCTGTGGTGCTTGGCCTCTTGTCCTTAGAGGTCATGCTCTCTGGGTGTGCAGGCTGGGCCCGGCCAGGGAGTCCAGGCCACTTTCACAGTAACCACCCTGGGCCCGCTCCTCTTCGGGGCTGTTGCTCAAGCGCGTGCACATGCGTTGGGGGGGTGCACGCGCGTGTGAGCGTGCACACGCACAGGTGTGTGCACACTGCAGCTAAGGCTGTGGTTCAGGGAGGCTTCCAGGAGGTGGTGAAGTGGAGACTCCTGTGACCATAAGATTGGAGGCAGGGGCGCCATGGAGGGCCCGGGAGATCTGGGGTGGCCTGGGCTTGAATCTGGTCCCTCTTGTTCCAGGTCACAGCTCACTGGGAGAAGTTCAAGGCTGCAGTGAGCCCAGAGGAGGAGGCAGAGAAGGCCCAGGCTGATTTTGTGAAGTCTGCTGTCAGGGACATCCGCTATGGGCCTGAGTCCCTCAGCGAGTTCACCCAGTGGCGGGTATGATCTCATCCTGCTGTGCTGGGAGTCTGTTCTCCCAGCTCCTCCATGGCTCCCATGCCTTCAGCTGCCCTAAGAGGCCTCTGGCCATGAGGGGTGGTAGAGTTTGGTGGGTCAGGGAAGGCAGACTTACTGGTTGGAAAGGCCCTTTCCCACCTCGGGAAGCACAGGTTCCCTCTGCCCCGGCATTTGGGGGAGGGGCCGGGAGCCCCAGGACTTGTATCTAGCTCCCCGATGTCCTGGCCCCACGTAGGTGCAGATGATCTCTGAGGAGCTGGTGGCCTCTGGTGGGCCCCAGGTGCATGAGGCAGACGTCCCGGAGAGGCCTCCAAAAGCCGCAGCTGCCCAGAAACCCAGGGTAAGTGTGGTACCACGCAGCTCCCAAGGCTCCAAAGGCCTGTCTTGGCCTTTCCTGCCTAGAGAGACTGTAGGGAAAGGGGGTTGGGAGGGGAGGCAGGGAGTCCTGGAAATGAGCCCAGGAGTCGGCCCCTGATGCCTGAGCTGGTTCACACTGACCCTGGGCCAACCCTTGCTTTCTGCCCCCATGGGAGGCTGCGGGCCAGCCTGTGATGCCGAGGAAGCAAGCCCCGGGCCCTCAGCCCAGCCCCGACCCCCTCCACAGGCCAGGCCCGTGGCCAAGAAACGGCCGGATGACGTCTCACTCAACCTGTCTCCCAACAAGCGGGTGTGCACCTCCTCGTTGGCCCCCGTGGAGGGCGGCCCCCCGGGCTCTGACGGCGGCCAGGTAAGCTCGCAAGGGGGCAGGGGTTAGCTGGCAGGGAGCACGGGCTGGGGCAGCTGTGACCCCCCGTCTGCCCCCACAGCCCGCCCGGGACCTGGAGCCCCTGCATTTCCTGCAGTGTCACAGCAAGAACAACAGCCCTCGGGACCTGGACACCCAGCTCTGGGCCTGCGCTTTTGAGCCGGCCTGGGAGGAGGGTACAGCCTTGGCGGGGCAGGCAGGGCCAGGGGGAGAGCCCCAGGGAACGCCCCTGGAGGGGGCCGCCTCCGCGGATGGGGGGCCTGGGAGAGACAGCCTCTGAAGCGTCGTCAGGGCCAGGACAGAGGCGCTGCGGGGGCGCACTTCTCGGAGAACGTGTCTACTGAGGCTGACCCCTCCAAACAGGGCGCGCGGGCGCCACCTCCCAGACGGTGGCCACGTGTGGCGGGGAGGCCGTGTGCGTGATAGACTGCCAGACGGGCATCGTGCTGCACAAGTACAAGGCGCCTGGCGAGGTGGGCGGGGCGGGTGTTCGTGCGGCGCTGGGGGTGGGGCCCTGACCCGGTCCTGCTGGGCCTCGCTTCCGCGGCTGGAGCTCCAGGGCGCGCGCACGCGTAGCCCCGCCCCTTAGTGACTCCCGCAGCACCCCCCCCCCCCCGCAACCACGCACGGCTCTGCCCCTTAGTGATGCCCGCACCCCCCGCAGCCCCGCCCCTTCGTGACACCCGCACGCCCGCGCCCACAGGAGTTCTTCTCGGTGGCCTGGACGGCCCTGACCGTGGTGACGCAGGCCGGCCACAAGAAGCGCTGGAGCGTGCTGGCCGCCGCGGGCCTGCGGGGCCTGGTCCGCCTGCTGCACGTGCGAGCTGGCTTCTGCTGCGGGGTCATCCGGGCCCACAAGAAGGCCATCGCCACCCTGTGCTTCAGCCCCACCCACGAGACCCACCTTTTCAGTAAGAGCCTCTCCCACACCCCTGTCCTGCAGTCCGGGCACCCGGGGTCAGCCCTGGCCGGGGTAGAAGCAGCGTGGCTTTGTGGACGACTGACGGCTTCAGATCCTGCCTTTTCCCCCTGACCCGCTCTGTGGCCTTGAAGCTGGGCAGCTAGGCCGCTCTGTGACCCGGCTGGGTACCCCTGGCCCCCCAAAGTGTGATAAGCCCAAGAAGGGACGTGTGAGCAGAGGCCTGCGAAAGGAGGGCTGCCTGCCGTGGGGCGTGGTAGTGAGAGGGAGGTAGAGACTGGCGGCCCTCGAGTCGTCTCCCAGCTGCGGCCCTGCCCGCCCCCGAGGGGCCGGGCCTTGTGACCATGGTCTCAGCCTGGGATGGAGCCTGCCAGGGCGAGTAGGGCCTCTTCAGGGCCACCTCTCCCCTTCTTGTCCCCTCCTCAGCGGCCTCCTATGACAAGCGGATCATCCTCTGGGACCTCGGGGTGCCCAACCACGATTACGACTTCCAGGCCAGGTGAGGCTGTGGGGCAGGGCAGGGGGGCCTCGCCAGGGTGGGCGGACAGCCCGGTTGGTGGCCTCACGCTGTCCTCCCCCGCCGGCAGCCAGCTGCTCACCCTGGATACCACGTCCATCCCCCTGCGCCTCTGCCCTGTGGCTTCCTGCCCGGATGCCTACCTGCTGGCAGGCTGCGAGGGCGGCTGCTGCTGCTGGGACGTGCGGCTGGACCAGCCCCCGAGGAGGAGGTGAGGCCGGCCGGGCCAGACGCCTGACCTCCCGCAGTGGTGCCCAAGCATGGCCCGTTCTGGGCCGCCAGCGGCTGTCTTCACGGGGCCAGCCCGTCCCCACCTCCACTAGTCTCCCAGGGCAAGGTCCGTGCCTGTGGGACTGGGCCGGGTCGGCTCTCGGAGCTGCGGTCACCTCACCTTGCAGGGGAAGGGGATGGTGCCTGGACAGGGATGAGACCCCGGAAAGGCTCATCTGTACCCACCCGGAAGGCCGGCATCCCTGCCCTCGTGCGGCCCACAATCTTGTTAAAACCCACACAGCACAGTGTCAGGTGTGACGGAAAGCGAATGAGGGGACCATGAGGAGGTGACGTGACGGGTGGCGGATGGGTCCTCGGGCTCCTGTTCACCACACGGGCCGAGCCGGGGAGTCAGGCCCTGGGAGGGAAGGTGCTGGCACGGGGGCGGTAGCCCGCACGAGGTCCAGCCGGGCCTGGGAGGCGGGGGGACACCGGCTAAGACTGGATTGTGTCCTCAGTGTCGTGAACGGTCTGGGAAGAACTTTCGGGGGTGGGGGGCAGTGACAGCCACGTCGGGGCAAATAACTAAAGCGTCAGGCACTGGCGTTTGTGGGGCCCATGGCACACCGGGGAGTGAAGCCCTGGGCTTCCCCCGCCAATTCCCGCCTCAGCTGTGACCCCACACCCTCCCCAGCTTGGGAACGCGCCGCAGCCCCGTACCACCTGCCCCTGTGCCCGTGCGGCCGCAGCTCCCAGCCGAGGCGGAGGGCAGGTGCAGAGGATGTGCCCAGCACACGTCCGCAAGCGGCTCTGGGTCCCGGGGGGCAGCTGGCCAGCTTCCTCTGCCGCCCCGCAGGCCGTGCGAGGTGGAGTTCGTGTTCTCCGAGGACTCGGAGGCAGCGGCGCGGAGAGTGGACGGGCTGGCCTTTGTGAACGAGGACGTGGTGGGTGAGTAGCCCCCGTTCGGGGCCAGCCTGGCCTCCCGGGGCTCCTGAGGGGTCCACGCCGGGCAGTGTCTAGAGCGGGGCCCCCACCCAGTTCTGTCTCTCCCTCCCCCCAGCCTCCAAGGGGAACGGCCTGGGCACCATCTGCCTGTGGAGCTGGAGCCAGACGTGGGGGGCCCGGGGCAAGCGGCCCACGCTGGCGGTGGTGGTGCTGGCCCGGCTGCAGTGGTCCCCCACCCAGCTGGCCTACTTCTCGCTGAGCACCTGTCCTGGTGAGCCCCTGCCCCCCCACCCCAGCCCCCTCCACCCCACGGGGCTCCGCCACACCCCCGGTCTCAGGCCATGCGTCCCTGCAGGTGAGGGCATCGTGCTGTGTGGGGACGAGGAGGGCAACGTGTGGGTCTACGACGTCCGGCACCTCCTGATGCAGGAGGCTCCGCTTCCGGCAGCGCCGCAGGCCCCGACGCAGGTAGGCGCCCCTCGCCCGCCCCTCGCCCGCCGTGGGGACTGCTGAGCGGGAAGCTGGAGCCCTGCCCTCCTCTCTCCCTACCCCAGATCCTTAAGTGGCCCCAGCCCTGGGCCCTCGGCCAGATGGTGACCAAGACCATGGTGAACACGGTGGTGGCCAACCCCACCTTTACGTACCTCACCGCTCTGACGGACTCCAACATCGTGGCCATCTGGAAGAGACAGTAGCCGGGGCGGGAGGGCGGGGGAGTTCGGGGGACCCGACTTAACTTATTCAGCTTTGGGGCGAATGACCAGAATGTTTTTATTGGGGAATATTTTTATTAAACTCTCTGCTGTACAAGAAGACTGGAGAGAGGTCTGTGGCCCCGTCTGGCACCGCTACTCGGAGTGAGACCGGCCAGGCCGGGAGCAGAGGCTCCTGCAAGCGCTGCCTCCCTGCGGGGGGCGGGGAGGGGGGGGGTTGGTCTACAAGGAGTGTGGCCCTTTGGGGCCACATTGCAAAGTGGACAGGCCCCAGGACCCAGATAACTGGGAAACCGGTCCTCTGCCCCGACGCAGCCCCACGCCCCGCAGGGTCACCTTGGCTTTAGCCCACACCCAGGGCTTTTCCTGCAGCACTTAATTAGGAAGGTAAAACACTCTGTCCAGGACACACCAGCTCCGGCGGGAAGGGGCTCACCAGGATGTCCCCGAAGCTGGGTAAGCTGCTCTCCTAGAAGGTTCCAGTGCAGGGTAGGAACTAGCCAAGCAAGACTCTCCCAGCCTCCTATTCGATGCCTTCTTGCTTGTCTTTAATGGCCACCTGAGCAGAGAGGGGTGGCAGCCACTTAGCTGGAAGGGCCAGGGTGAGGCGGCTGGGAAGGCAAGCCCAGTGTCCCTGAGCGCCCCCAGCCCATCTGCCTGAGATGCAGGTGACACGCACAAGCCGTGGATCCTTCTCACTCTACTCCCAAGTCAGACGCTGAGGCCCTCTGCGTGGACAGGCGTGACCATGCCCTTTCAGCCTCCTTAACTGTGGGGCCCCACCCAGGCATGAGCTGCCCCCTCCACAAATACCCTGAGGCAGCCAGGCCTCACCAGAGGCGGCTTGGGGGAGCAGTCCCAAGGGGCAATACAGCCCTGCTTCCACAGGAGCTGCGGGAGCCCCCGGAGCCCACAGTACGGTTCCCACCCCTGCTGCAGACAGCACGCCCCCGGCCTCGACTCGCAGCCCCTTCGTCTGCGCTTGCTCAAGGCTGTAGGAGCATCGCTGCTGTCGCCACCTCGCCCGGCCCCCCAATACCTCAGGAAGAGCCCCCCCCCCAGGCTGTCGGGGGGTGGGCCGGAGAACAGCGCGGCTCCGGGCACACGCAGCCCCGCTCCCCTGCACGCCGGGCCCCTCACCCGGAATCGCTCCTCCAGCAGGGACAGCTCGCTGATGAGGTCCGTGATGGCGTTGGTGAAGGCCTCCTGCGGGCTGTAGTCCGGGGTGGTCTGCACTCGGATGATGATCTTGTGCTCCAAGGGGTGGGGGACTTTGTAGCCAGCAAACAGCACCTGCGGGTCCTTCAGCAGCTGTCTGAGGTACAGAAATGGGCGGTGTGACACGAGGGGCTGAGCCTGGCAGCCTTGGGGATGACCAGAGCTCTAAGCAGAGCGTCCTCCCCCCGGCCTGAGGCCTAGAAGCCAGTACAGCTGGGGGCTGACCCCAGGTAGTCCCCTGCTCCTGACTGCCCGAAGAAAGCCTTCCAAGTAAAACATCGCAAAGATGATCTCATGGGGAACCCCCCCCCCCAACACCTGAGGATCCAGGACCCCAGCCGGTAAGCAGGATCTCCAGCACTCTTCCCTCAGGGGAAGGCCGGGCCTTGCAACAGCCCCAAAGCGCCCTCCCGAGGCCGCACATGGCGCAGCACAGGAACCTGACGCAGCAGTGCGGGCGGACCGGGGAGAAGGCCCAGGCCCCGGGCGGGCGGTGACACGGAAGCCCTCCGGGCGACACAGGCTGACAGCTCCTGCCCACACACCCGGGGCCCCGTCTGCGAGCCGTGCCCCGCGCGCTGTCAGCAGCAGGCACCACAAGGGATGGCCCTTGCACGGGTGGGGACACGGCTCCCAGAGCAGGGGAGCGGCCAGGCCCCAGGAGGGTCTGGGGGCACCACTGGCGTGGCTTGGGCGAGGGGGGGGGGGCGCGGGGGCGGGGGGGCGTCAGCCAGAGAACGGCCAGCTCCACCTCCCGCTTTCAGCCCAGAGACCAGGCAGGCTCCTGCCCGGGGCCTCAAACGTGCAAACCTCGGAAAGACCTGGCTTCACCGATGGGGTTTTCAGCAGAGAAATGACAAGTGCTTGGGCCAGAACAGCAACCACGTCGCTGACCACCTACCCGGTCAGGACTAAACTGGTGTAAACACACATCCGCCCTCCCCCAGGGGCATCGGATAACCACAGAGCCTCTCCCCCACCTTCTCCCCTCCTCCTCATAAGATCCGATCTCTGGCGCATCTGTCTTTGCGTGCCAGGTGTCCCAGAGGTCATCGTCCCCAAGGGGGGTGGGTGACAGCCCTGACTGCTGCTCCCCGCTCCGCAACACAGACACGAGCAGGCCCACGTTTGTCTGGCTTGCCGCACGTTCGCTTCCTACCGTCAGGGAAATGAGCCAGTACAGAGAGACGGCGCTGTGAACGGATACGGGTCAGCGTCATTTGGGAGAAGGTGTACTGGAATGTGGGAATTGCCAGAGGAAGCACCCAGACCTTCCTGAAGCTCAGAGAGACTTCGGGAAATCTTCCGGAACGTGTGCTTTGCCTCAAAGAGCCCCACTGAACATTTCCCAAGAGCCTCTGACGTGGAACTTACGACTTAATGATGTTTCCCAGCGTGTGGTCTTCTTTGTTGATGGTGAACAAACAGGCATTGGGTACCTTGGTGTCCTTGTTAATGGTGATCCTAGAAAGAGGCGGAAGCAACAGATGGGCAAACGGGGGCTCCCCTCCTTCCCCAAGTCTAAATCCTGCCCTTCAGCGCAGACCCAGGTCCCACCTCCTCCTGGAAGACTTCCTCCATCTCTTCTTCCATAAAGACCCTGCTGACTCAGAGCAGCAGAGCGGCTATGCCCTGATTCTGCGGGACCCTCACCTACTCTGGATTGCTCCTTGGCACCAGTGACATTTTAGGATGGATAATTCTTTTCTGTAGGGGGCTGTCTTGTACATCATAAGATGTGAGCAGTGCCCCTGCACCCCCTTTATGACAATCAGAAGTGGTGGCAGACATTGCCAAAAGTCCCCTGGGAAGCAAAATGGCCCCAGCAGCCAACCACTGCTCCCAAGGGAGACGAAGTGGCTGGCAAGGGCTAGACCGTAGAGCCCCGCACACCAGGCTATTAAGAGAAGGAAAAGCCAATGTTTAAGACGGTTTGCTGCGTGCTGAGCCCTGGCCTCAGCACTTCCGGTAGATTACCTCGTTAAGCCCCCCGTAGAGAAAGTCCTCTGATTTAATACGGCAAGAAGCCCATTTCCCAGAGGAGGAAAGCAGGCTTCAGGCAGATTAAGTCACTGGCCCAACGACATGGAGACGTTAGGTGAGGGAGCCAGGCCCAGGCAGAGAGCCCAGGGAGGGGACTACATTCCCTTGCACTCTGCAGGCAAGAAGCCCCTGGAGGGTCTTCACAGGCCACTGAGGATCGGTGGTGAGCCCGAGCGCCAGCCCTCTGGCTGCAGCAGGCGGATGAAGGCGGCGGCCAGCAGGCTGCCGGATCCCAGAGGGAAAGCACTGGGGCGCCAGGCCCTCTACTTCCCATACAGACGGCCACTTCCCGTGTGCCGGGGCAGTTCCTTAGCCTCTCTGAGCCTCAGTTTCCTCCTCTGCAGAATGGGACCGCTCACCACCGCCCGGCAGGGCTGGCTCGAGTTTGGCCGACACAGTAAACGCTGCTTCCGTCTCCCCGCAGTGGACGAACCGGAGAAGCCCCAGGGTCCGCCCGCGACCCCCGGCCCCGCCCCGCCGGCTCCACTTACTTTTTCTCACCCTCGAAGAGCAAGAACGACTCGAAGGCGGGAGGGGCGTTCATCCTAGCGCCGCACTAGCCTCCAAAGTCGCAGGGGCCGCCACCACCGCCAGCGAAGCCCTACACCACCAGCTCTTCCGGGTTAGCGGCTGCTTCCGGGTTACGGCTTTCCCCGTGTGAAGGCAGGCCGCTTGCCCCCTAGCGGCCTGGGGGACGTAGCGCAGGCGCGGGAAAAGCCCGGGGGGAACCGAGGGAGGCGGGTGGTTCCGCGCATGCGTGAGCCCGGAGTTGCGTCCGTGTGTTCGCGGTCCTGTAGGCGCGCCTGGGCGCCCGCTCGCGGGGCTGGGGGCTGTTTTGTGTGTGGTAGGACGGCCTCTCCCCGCTCCCCGTGATCCTTGTTTGGAAATGTGCCCTTGGAACACCCAGCGCGAGGCCCTCGAGTGGAGAGCGGAGCCAGGGCGCAGTGGGGCCGGCGGGAGGGCGGGAGAAGCCGCATCGGTGTCTGGGCCTCGGCCCGGTGCGGATAACCCCCTGCCGAGGCTGCCTGCCGTGGGAGCCCCGGCTGTGTCGTTGCCGGCTTGCCCACTGGGCCCGTGGCCTCATGAGCGGCTTGTTAGGTAGGCAGCGGGTGAGGGCGGGGGCCGGGCAGGTGTACCCAGCGGGGAGAGAGGAGCTCCGACGGCCAAGAGGAGTCCGCTTGGATTGGCTGGTATTGCAGACTGCAGTTTGTTCTAAAGGCCCCCCCTGCGCTGTTTGAAGCGAGGGGCTGGGTCTCCCATTAGCTACTGGAGCCACAGCAGCTGAGGAGAAACCAGGAGCTTCCACACCACTTCCTGGGAAGAGCCATCCCCTACTTAGGCCTTGGGCCCTAGGACGAGGAAGTGTCATTCCCCCAAGATCCACACTGGCCTTGACTCTCCAGGCCAAGTGGGGGCGGGGAGGGGATGAGGGGATGATGCCCTGGGGCTGTAACCTCCACCCTTCTGGGCCATTTGGGCCAAGGATGCTACTTAACTGGGCTGGCTGGGGGGAGGGAGGTGTAGTTTTTACCCAAAAGGGGCCTCACTCCCTGCCTGATAGAACCCAGGGGTTTGGGGGTACATGAGCGGTAGGGACAGTGCCAGGCATGCACTTGTTGTAAGCCCTCCTCAGGCTGCAGTGGCCACCCCACCCCAGGACCCTTCTGGAGGAGAGGGAGGTAGGTGTCACCACACCCGGTGGCTGGGTGTATGCAGCTCCTATCCAGGCTCCTACTTGCGGCAGCCCCATAAACGCACACCTCTCCTGCCCCTTCACTCTCTGCATTAGGGTGCAGTAGACCCTGGGGTCCGAACTTCCTGACCACAAGGTCCCGGAAACCCAAGGAGATTGAACAGGGGTGACGACTTGTGTGAGGCCCTGAGGAAGCAGCCAGAGAACAGGGTGTTGGTGATGGGAGAGGGGTGGCGCAGACTCAGCCACCCCTGGGCCGGGAAGGGAAGATGAGGCCCGTTCAGGCTCTAGCCTGGGGGGGATGGAGCAGTGGAACCCAGGGTATGGTGAGGACAGCAGTTGGGGGGAGAAATGAGTCCCCCTGGGATGTGGGGGGGGGCAGAGGGGATGCACAAAGGCTATGCTGGTGGCCCCGTCGTTGGCCACCCCCAAGGAGCCACTGGAGTCCCCAGGCCTAGTCCTTCCACCGACCCCCATCACAAGAGCCCAGAGCCCAGGCGGTCACAGCAGGTTTATTGTCAGCGACAGAGCACCAGCGAAGCTCGCCCGGCGGGCCCAGCCAGCGGCCGGGGGGGAGCAGGTGGTGTGGCGGCCAGGAGCTGGAGGATGCTGAGGTCCCGGCCTGGTCTCCTGGGCTCCGTGTTTCCTCCCACTTCTCTGGGTCCAAGGAGCATCCGTCCACCTGGGCTCAGGCCACCCTAGGGGTGGTTTCCGGCTAGGCCCACCCTGGGCAGGAGAGCGGGCCCCTGGAGAGCGTGGGCTAGTGCCAGGGATGGCTGCGGGGCTGGCGGGGAGCAGCCAGGCTCCAGGGAGGAGCGGGAGTGCGCCCGGCGCCCTAGAGACTTCAGGCAGGCAACGATGGGCCTTCTGGGCCCCCGGGCCCCCCAATTCACCCAGCCCACGAGAACCCTAAGCCCTGCTCCCCAGTGAGCGGGGGTGAAGTGAAGAACCAAAAGCGCACCCGGGGGTCTCCAAGCACCTGGCAGGGGGCTCGGCGAGGGCGCGGGGGGCGGACCTCACGTCTGCAGCGCCAGCGGGCGGTTGGGCCCCGAGGGCCGTGAGCCGGCGGGGCTGGAGCTGTGGGCCTCCTGGAGGTCCTGCAGCACCTGCAGCAGCTGGGCCAGTGGGTCCTCGGGGGCTGGAAGCAGATGCAGGATGAGGGCGGAACAGCCAGGGCCAGAGGGCCCCCCCCACCGCCCCCGGAGTGGGGCCCCGCCCACAGTCCCCCGGAAAGGAGCTCAGGCCACTGCGGGGGCCCAGCTGGGAGGAACCTACCTTCCCCTGGGCCCGTGCACACAGAGCCTGCCCCTGTGCCCGCACTCAGCTCCCGGTGCTTCTCCCTGTGGCGGAAGACAGAGTGAGAGCTCGTGGTGCCCTTGCCAGGAAGGCTGGGTGACCCCGCGTGGGCCTCCTGAGCTGGAGGGGATCCTGGGGGTGGGGGCCGACCCTTTCAATCTGTGGGGAAGTAACAGGGGTCCAGGTCATGGTCCTCTGGTCACCTGCCATCTTCCCTCTTCCAGCCTCCTCTGGTCCCCCCCCCCCCCCGCACCACCACGGTGCGCCGGTGGAAGGCACTTTGGAAACCCAAGTTTGAACCACATCACTCCCGTTTCGGAGGACCCTGCGGAAAAGGGCCAGCTGGGGCCTGAAGTCCCAGGATTAACTGGTGGTGGGACGAGTTTCCTCCTTCTGGGAGGACGAGCCAGTTGCAGGCTAAGCACAATTCCTAACTGGGGTTCACCAGAGATCCCTGGGCCCTCAGGTACGACCCTGGGAGCCCACACGGAGGGAGAGCGAGCAGCCACGTGGACCCCAGGCTTGAAATTCCTTGCTTCGAAATTCCACTGGCTTGGGCTTTTTGCCGGTCTCCCTGACGTGTTTCCGAAGAGCTGTGTCCCTGTTAAGATCTAACGAGCTGCTCCTCCTCCTGAGATGCCTTCTAGGCCCCATGGGGTCGGTCCAGTCCCCTACCTGCTCTGCTCATTTGCTAATTTGAACTGACCGCAAGCGAAGACATCGTTCCCAGTAACTGGTTACAGCAGCCACAGGAAGTGGGCACAACAGGGACTAAGGACGGGTCACCGTGTCAGGGGATCAGGGGTGCCAGTGGGGCAGAAGGTCTCGTGGTGCTCAATGGCAAGGAGGTGAAGCAGAATGAGAGGAGGGGTGGCCGGGTGGTTCCAGAGCTGGGGAGGCTATGGTCAGGCCCCAGGGCACTGGTCCCGTGGCGGGACCCACCTGAACCCAAGGTGGCTTGGGTTCCAATCTTGGCTCTGTCACTTCCTGACTTAAATGGGGGACAGCTGTGGGTTCCGGGAATAGAACAGACAGGGTGGTGGCTTCATCCAGTAGGTGTGGAGGACGAAGTCACCGAGCCAGGGGGCCAGACTAGGGGTAGAGAGGAAGCTGGTGACAGGACCACACCATCAGAAAGGACATGTGGCTGCAGAGTGACCTGGGAGCTACTGGAGACTCTGGCTCACAGAGGAGCGAGCGGTTCTCGTCTGACCCCATGAGCTTCGAAGGGTTCTGAGGAAGAGATTACACCCTGGAAAAGTTGATGAGGAACAAGGACAAGAGCCACCACCCCTCCAGGGCCCCGGGGCCTGGGGTGTGGGGCAGAAAACCGCCCCCATTCCAGCAGGCTCAGGGAAGCCGCTCAGGGAAGCAGAGGGTTGCTTGGAGATCTCCCCACTCTGGACTCCACCTCCGGAGATTCTGAGTCAGTGCGGTAGGCATTCTGTTTTTTTCTGAGCGGGAGCCAAGGGCTGAGAACCAGGGCATTAAGGAGATGGCTGAGGAACTCAAGAGAGCTGGCTGAGGACAGTCCCTGCGCTCCGAGGGCACGATGGGGAGGCCGGACAGGTTGGGAGGCTGCGTCAGTCCGGGGCAGGACCACAGCCGTGGCAATGACCCAGGCCTTCTGCAGCCCTTGAGCCTTCCTCCTCACATGAGCCAGCCTCATGCCGCAGAGACCCGCGTACCCCTCCCCGGGTGTGGCTGCCACCGGCAGGAAGGGGCCAGGCCTGATCCGCAGCAGGGGACCAGCCATGCAGCCCCAGCTCTGGCCCTCACCCGCCACACTCCCCGGGGCCACACAGGCCTCCTCACCTCAGTGCAGCCTCCACGCCCAGCAGGTGCCGGTAGATGAGCTGGGCCTCCAGGTCATGATCCAGAGGGTCATTCCACTCCTGCAGGGTCACCCGTGACCGGGTCTTGTCACAGCCCAGATCTGGGGGCACAGAGAGGGCAGGGTTGCGGGCAGTGTCCATGAGAGCTTACGTCCAACTTCATGGCAGTGCAGGTGGGGACACTGAAGCCTGAAGAGGAACAGGAATGGGCTCAGGGGCCCCAGGAGGGCAGCAGCTCATCTCTGCCGGGTGCAGCTCCTGAGTCCAGAGATACATGACTGCCGAGCATGGGAACCGCACAGGAGACAACTCAAGGGGGCCGGAAGGTTTTCTGGATGGCTGCCTGCCTAGAAGGAAGAAGGGAGCAGCCTGGGACCGTAAGATCACGGGGACAGAAGCTGAGGGCTTCGGGCCTTGGAATGAGCCGGCCCTGCCACTTGCTGGCTGACGACCTTGCAGAGGCACCGGCCCCCTTAAGCCTCAGTTTTCTCCTCCACAGAATGGGCTACCAGACCTACCTCCTAGCGCCCTAGGGAGTCCCCCTCACCAATAACAAGGGCTATCACCATGAAGGTCAAAGCCAGCGGCTGCAGGTCAGGCCAACCAACCAGAGCTGCCACTGTCCCCTCCCAGACCCAGGGCTGGCTGGAGCAGGTGGGGCAGCTTCCCAGGGCCTCCCGTGCCAGGCTCCGGGGGCTGAGTCTCTTCGGAGACCGTGGAGCAAGAATTTTGTAAAGCAGTGAGCCTGGGTGGCTCAGTCGGTGAAGCGTCTGCCTTCGGCTCAGGTCATGATCCCAGGGTCCTGGGATCGAGCCCCGCATTGCGCTCCCTGCTCAGCAGGAAACCTGCTTCTCCCTCCCCCACTCCCCCTACTGTGTTCCCTCTCTCGCTGTCTCTCTGTCAAATAAATAAATAAAATCTTAAAAAAATAATAATAATAATTTTGTAAAGCGGATGGAGGTAAGAGAAGATCTTAACAGTCCCAGAACTGAGCTGTCTGATAGGGAAACCAGCTAGCCACAGAAAGCCGCTTAAATTTAAAATCATTAAAATTACATAAAATTAAAACAAACTTTGAACTCTGTTCCTGGGCCACACTGGCCACGGCTCAAGCCACGTGTTCATAACGAGCACACGCGCAGAACCGGGCACCAGTCCCACCATCATGGAAAGTTCTAGCAGCAGCTCGTCTCGGCCATCCCTCGGGTGCCCAGGGTCCCCCACCTGCAGCTCCAGTATCAGGCTGCCCGGTGGGAACATGCAGCTCAGCAGCGAAGAGTTCCCACAGTGTGTTCCTGGGAGCCCTGCTTCGCAGGAGCCTCCCTCCCTGGGCAAGAAAGGGCCCCTGTCCCGTGAGCTGGTGTCACACTCCAACTCGTTTCCAGGCCTCCTCGGGGCCCTCAGCGAACCCACGTGCGGCACCCACACCACGCGGCACGTCCCAAACTGCCGTCACAGAACCCTTCCCGCCCGGAGCCCCTGCAGGGACCAAGGCCTTCCTACGGGTGCACAGGTGGCCCCCAGCCAGGCCAGCCAGGGTGGACAGATGCCGTGTAGGGGGGCCCAGGCCTCCGCTCCCACCTGACTTGTCCTTCTGGTGGCAACAGCTCCACTTGTCCCCACGGAAGACGCCAGGGTGGTAGGAACCCAGCAGGCTGGGGTTGCTGATGCACACCTTCCGCAGCGCAGACAGCCACTGGTTCAGCTCGTTCACACACTGCCGGGGGCGCGGGGGGCCGTCAGAGGTCACCCGCTCCAGGAAGCCCACCCTCCCCCTTCCTGGAGCTCCCAAGCACGTGGCCTGATGAGCAGAGTGCCGGCTGGACGTCGGCCGCCACTCGCCCCCTCGACCATGCCTTGGGCAACTGTACGGGGTGGTCACCATTTTCCCCTGTAGCTCTGGACAGTCCCTCCCAGGGACAAGCCAAACCCCCTCTGACTTCAGCCTTCCTTCTTGCTCCCCGTGTCCTGCCCCTAGACGTTCTCTCCTTCACGATGCCCCTTCTCAGAGGCCCTCCCACCCACCCTTTAGAGAGCAGCGTCCCCCTGCTCAATGCTACTCTGTCCCCTCCCTCTCTCCCTTAGTCTCCTTTGTGCCCTTCAAGGCACTGCCACCATTTGACATTTTAAATATTGATTTAGGGGTGCCTGGGTGGCTCAGTTGGTTAGGCAACTGCCTTCGGCTCAGGTCATGATCCTGGAGTCCCGGGATCGAGTC